GAGTATTGCGAGGAGAAGTCAAAACCACCCCAATGCCATGGCCCAAAGAATTTGATGCACCATCTAACGTGAGAGTCCATCGTTTCCCTAGTTCGAATTCTTCATCTTCATCCACTTTCAGAACATCCTCATCTAGGAAGTCGAACTTCATTGACTAATACTCTTATAATGGTTGGTGAGCAAGGTGATCAGCAAGAATGCTACCTTTAATAGCCTTCTGCTTAATATATTGAATGTCATATTCAAATAACAACACGTGCGGCCGATCCAATCTTTCGGTGAGATTTGGTTTCTTGAAAATATACTTTACTAGGTCCATCTTAGAAATCAGGAGTGTTGTATGTGTCAACATGTATTGCTTCAAACATCGAGCAGCCCAGGTGAGACCATAACAAGTCTTTTCAAGAAGGGAATACCTTGATTAACAATCAGTAAACCTTTTTACTTAAGTAGTAAATGGCATGCTCCTTACGTCCCATTTCATCATGTTGTCCAAGCACACAACCCATAAACCCCTCTAATACCGCCAAGTACATGATGAGTGGCCTCCCAGGTACTGGTGGAACAAGGATTGGTTGCTCCTAAAGATACTGTTTAGTTTTTTCAAAGTATTCTTGAGAGTTGTCGTCTCAACATACTTCTTGATTCTTGTGCAACAATTTAAAAATGGGTTCAAAAGTAGTTGTGAGATGACAAATGAACCTAGAAATGTAGTTTAATCTCCCAAGGAACCCTTTGACTTCTTTTTCATTCTTTGGTGCTGGCATGTTTGGTATTGCTCTTACTTTGTCAGAACCGGCTTCAATTCCTCTTTGACTTACAATAAAACCAAGTAACTTGCCAGATCGCACCCCAAAGGTACACTTGTTTGGATTAAACATTAACTTGAATTTCCGTAATCGATCAAATAAATTTTGAATATAGACCAAATGTTCTGATTCAGTCTATGAATTTGCAATCATATCATCAACATACACCTCTATCTCCTTATTAATCATATCATGAAAGAGAAAAACCATAGCACGTTGATATGTTGCATAAGCATTTTTCAATCCAAAAGGCATGACTTTATAGCAATAAGTCCCCCAAGGAGTGGTAAACATTGTTTTCAGCATGTCCTCTAGGGCCATCTTTATCTGATTGTAGCCTGAAAAACCATCCATAAAAGAGAATACTAAGAAATGAGTTGTGTTATCAACAAAGATGTCAATTTATGAGGCAATGAAAAATCATCTTTCGGGCTCGCTTTGTTCAAGTCTCGATAATCCACACACACATGAACCTTTCCATCCTTCTTTGGAACATGTATGCTGTTTGCAATCCAATTAGAATACTCAACCACGACTAAGAAACTCGCGACTAGTTGCTTTTCAACTTCTTCCTTGACTCGAGAGACATATCTGGTCGAGTTCGGCATGACTTCTACTTTACAGGAGGACATTCTAGCTTGAGTGGAAACCGATGCACAACTATGTCAGTGTCTAAACTGGGCATGTCTTCATACGACCAGGAAAAGATATCAGCATACTCACGAAGCACCTCAATCAACCCCTTCTTTACACTGTCTTGAAAGGAAGCACCTATCTTGATTTCCTTCTTCACTTGTTCAGTACCAAGGTTGAAGACTTCTATGTCTTCTTGATGAGGCAAGACAACTTTCTCCTCTTGTCTTACAAGTCTGGCCAATTATTCAGGAACATCACAATCTTCTTCACAATCTTCACCAACTTGGTCATTCAGATTCTCAAGGATATTGATGTCAGGGAATATAGCATTATCGTTTCTGATGGAAATTGAGGCGAATCTGCATGTTTGAATGAATCATGCTTTATTTTAGAAAAAAGAAGGAAAAGCATTGTCATTTTGAAAAAATAGTAAAAGTAAAAATTGAAAGACAAAGATTAAAAATTTGTATGTGAAAAGTGATTTTTATTAAATATTAAGCAATGATTGAAACAAAGGGGGACCTTCTACAAGCTGTCAATATGCCTTGGGCAGAGCATATGACTTTTGAAATAAGAAAATTACACTCAATAGAAAGAAACTTTCTGGATCATCCATGACAGTCCAATTGTCGAGCTCCTGATCTGGTGCAATCTGGTAGATAAACTGAGAAATGTATGCATCATTGCCAACTTTATCATCTACTACCAATATCTGCCCTCTATGACTTGTACCAGCACTAGTGGATATCTTAGAGATTGGGGGAATTTGTGCTCCTTTGGAATATGAATTGTTTTGGGAGGAAGGATGATAACCAAGACCATGCTTATCTTTTTTCTCTATTACTTCAATCATTTTTCCCCAGCCATCATGGGGATAAGCAAATTCCAACAAGGCTCTAGAATCGTTAAAAGAAGAGAGGGGACTCTCAGGTTTCTTCTTTTCATCAATAAAAGGAAACATCTCAACTGACTCAATCTCAAGAGCTTGAAAATGAGTTTCTTGTGCTTCGCCATTGACCTCGACATACTGGAAGGAAGTCACATTGTTAATTACTACATCCTTTTCTCCACCAATCACGACAATCTTGTCACCAACAACGAGTTTCAAACGTTCGTGGAGGGTTGAAGTTACAGCCCCTGCCATGTGAATTCATGGTCTTCCCAATAATAAAATGGAAAATATCCATGATATAAAAGGATAGATAGAACACATGAGGTCCAATATTGATAGATAAGTCCATTTCCCCCTATACAGTTCACTGGGATCCATCAAATGCTTGCACAAACAAAGTACTGGGTCTCATCATTACCCCATCAAAATTCAGTTTAAACAATGTCTTTTTGGGCATCTCGTTGAGAGATAACCATGTATCCACCAAAACTCGTGACAAGACAGTATCCAAGAACCATATAGAGATGTGAAAATCTTTATTATAGGCTCGTCCTTCGGGGGAATTTAATCATCACAAAATCCAAAATAATTACCTAGAGAGATATTGGTCATGATCCCTTCAAATTGAGCAACAATAATGTTGGGAATCACATGAGCTTTACTTAGGATCTTCAAAAGAGCATTGCAGTGTGCTTCAGAATATAACATGAGGGTCAAGATAGAGATCTTGGAAGGGGTTTGATTAAGTTGCTCCACTATTTTGAAGTCACTTCTCTTTATCAACCTCAAAAGTTGTTCTATCTCTTGTTCAAATTTTTTATCACGGGTAACAATCACTTGCTTTCCTTTATCTTGAAGAAAAGCATCATTATCAATTTCTTTTGGAGGATACACAAGAGTAGGAGTGAAAACTCTTCCACTATGGGTAATTCCACCGGTTCCTGCAATGTTGGAAATTTTCGTATCACCTAATGGAGGAAAATCTACCTTCTGCCCTTGGATGTACACAACATTATAGTCATAAAGGACAACTCTTGAATCAACAGGAGGGGTAACAATAAGAGCTAAAAATGGCAAAGTCTGGACTGTTAGAGGATCAAATGAAACTTGAGCGGGATAAGCTAAGACTTGGGCAAGAGCGGGATCAGTAGGATCCTAAATTAACAGAGGATTAGGTCGAGTCCGAACTAGTGGATTTGTAGTAGTAGCAGGTGAAACGACTGGCAAAAAACACAGAGTCAACACCAAACTTTATTTATCCAGAAGGAAGAGGAAGTATCGAGAAAACCACGAGAGGATGAATAAGATGGTCTTGCAACCAAAAGAGAGGGTAAGGAAGTCAATTATGCAAGGGGAAGGTATTAACACCCTTCACACCCATTGTACTCAACGGGATCCATTTTTTTTTGTTTGCTTCTAAGGGTGTGTCTGTCTATAACTATACTTTCTAAGGGGAATGAAATGGTTTTTTATTAGTGCATTCCTGAGGGTCTCGCAACCCTTTTCCTATGTATCCCGTGAAGGAATCAAAACACCGTAGTTCTTCTTGAAAATGTTGGTTTGTTGGTGTTTTCTAGTGGGCGATGTTAATGCACGCATTCTAGCAATAGGCATGACCGGTATCGCGGTAGAATGGAGCTAACATGCCCTTTTGAGGGAATTTTGATTGGTTGAATGTTTTGTTAAATGGGAAATGGGTTTAAATAATGATTATTTTATTTTGGATATTTTGATTAAGAAAGAAGTTTTTGTTTTAATATTTACAAGAGAAAAGTCTAAGGGGAAAATCTACCCTAATGTTGTCATGCACGGGTTCTAACCTAAGGTCTAATTCGATGCAAAATGACTAATCGTTTCGTAGAATCTCTTAAGGGAATATGGCATCAAGAATAAATCAAATAAAGAAATAAAATCTAATATTTTATCTTAACTTAATAAAAATATTGAAAGCAAAATAATTTTTTTTTAAATATTTAACCACTTATTAAAACAAGTGGATAAAACAAATAAATAAGAATAATCTTTAATAGACAAAAACAAAACAAAGGAAATGGAAATGAAAGAAAAAAATGGTCCTTGTGGGAATTGAACCCAGGACCTTTAGTTTGCACACATAAGGCCTTGACCACTGCACCACTTCACTTCATTCATTTACTATACTAATCAAACACTATAAAAATCAAAACTTGTAAAATGGGTTGGGCTAGGCCCAAACCCGGATCCATCTAAGAGGGAATAGAGAGGGATTATGACAAACCTTAATTTGAATAAGGGGAAAGAGGCGCCTCTGTAAGCACATGGGGAAAGAGAAGTCATAATTAATTATTTTAATTTCTTAGTAACCTAATTAAAACCTAATCAAAATCTAATTAAAACCCAAGCAAACTGAAATTCTCTCTCAACTCACAGTCTTCTCTCTTCGTCCATATCTCTGTCGATTTCCTCTCTTTTCTTCTCTCTCAATAAACCTCTGTTCATCTCTCTCTTGTTTCTTGTAACAACACAAAAAAACTCAACCCCTTTTCCTTTCTATCATTCCTCTTTTCTCTCAATCACACCTCTCTCTCTCTCTCTCTCTCTCTCTCTCTCTCTCTCTCTCTCTCTCTCTCTCGTACCAACAACAACTTCCCTTCAGATGCATGCAACAACAACTACAAAGTGTTATGGCTTCCACAAAATTGGAAGCTTCAAATCAACAAACGATAACAAGCATGATGGAATTGATTGAAAATAGAGGGCGGGTATAGTAAGGAAAAAACGTTACCCACTGAGAGGAGGACTTCTTCGTCCATCCTTAGGTAAGACTCTGAATCTCCCTCCTTCTTCTTCATATTTTGGGTTATCATTGCAGCTTCGCATTAGTGCTGGCGGAAATTGCATGTTTAACATGTGTATGCTTCCAATTTGGCAGGTACTGATGTTGGTGTTTAGAGTTGTTTTGAATTTGCAAAACGATCAATGTCGTTAATGATGGAAGCTACATCGTTGAGTTGATGATGGAACTACTAATGAGGATTGAAGATTGAAGCATGGGTGACGGTGTCAATCGATTTCAAGCTTCTTCAGGTACAATCTTCTTGCATTTTTTCTTATTATTTCTTCTCCTTAAACCGAGACATTAGTTTGATCCGAGTTTGTGTTTTGAGTGTTTGTTGCATTATAGTTGTTGTTGCATATGGATATTGAGTATGATGGCGATGGTTGGGGTATGAAGGTGTTGTGAAGAGTGAAGAGTTGAGTTAGTTGTAAGTTTCAAGTTGTTTTACAGGTTTGCTATAATTATCAGTGATGCATTAATGCTTATGCTTAGTAGGTTTTAAACTAAAGGTTGGAGGATATTGGAGATTTGAAGGTTTTATTATTGATGGTTTAATGGCATTGAAAGAGAGTCTTGTGGTATAAGGCTTAATTGGAGTTCTGGATCCCTGCAAAATGAAGAAAATTATGTTGGAGGTGGTTAGAGGTAAGTGAAGGTGAGAGTTATAGAAAGGTATATGGATTAGTGAGTGAATGGATGAGAGTCTGTGAGGTTTTTTAGGTTTTCTCTGCTGTTTTTATTGTATCCTCCTCTCTAACTCCTTGTTGTATTTATAGGTGGCTTTGAGAGAGTTTTTGCCAGAAATAACCCAAGAATTTGAGAAAATTGAACATTTTTGACATGCTGACTTTATAGCTTTTGGGATGCAGGTTTCTTTTGCTTATTTTTGTGAAATTGTTGATAGGTTTTGGAGGGGAGTGGACAGGTTTTGACAGTAAGAAACACATGTTATGCAGGGGTATTTGTGCAGATTTTTGGAATGTTTTGTTTGTTTTGCAATGTGATGCAGGTTTTCATAAGGAGTAGTATCACATACTATTCTTGACATGGTTTTGGGCTAGTAGTAGCAGGCTTAGACTTGGAAGCATATCAAATTTTTGAGTTCTTATGGACAACAACATTTTTGGGCATCATGTTTTATCAATTGGTCACTTAGAAATATATCATCTTGTAGCTTTAGTTTCCCTTTTGTTGTAACTTGAAAATTTGTAGAAACTTGAATTATCTTGACTTGTAATGCAACTAAGAACAAGTATTTCACTTTGTTCTTTTAACTTTTAAGAAGTAATGTGGATTTATTTCATGGAACTTGAATGCTTGAATAGATGTAAGAATTCTCATGTTTAAAATTCTTGGATTTGAATAATGATATGCTTGAAAATAGATGAATAACCATGAACTTTGAATTAGGTTTGTTAACTTGATTTGGTTCATGAGAATTATAACTTAGAGAACCCATGAATCAAAGCACAACTTTATCATGAGTGAATTCCAATGAGGCTCTAATATTGGAAGTTTAAATGAATTTGAGAAAATTTAAGTGAACTTGTCTTTGATACATTGAATTCAAAATAATTCACGTGAAAGAACCATAAAGAATTTGGACGAAACTTGTGATATTGCGTAATGCATTGTTAACTTGAATTAAAATCAAAGACATTATTCAAATGAATCCTCATGTCATTTTCACCAAGATCCTAAATCAATTTCCAACATGGTGACTTGTATTATAAGCAACATCTTGTTCGAACTCAACATGAATCTTAACATGAATCTTCAAACTCAACATCTTGTTCCATGAAAAATATCAATATGAGAATCAAAGTCATGAGAAAACAATTATGGCATGAATTGAAATTAGAAGTTAAGAATATTCTAAATCAAGAAAATGACCTATGACGATTCAATAACTTTCAAGGTCTTCTAAACACAATTTCCCTCAATCCTTGAAGTAAACCTATAGATGACATCATTCGTGATAGCATGCAAAAATAATCGACTCAAAATGTCAAAAATCGAAGAAGTTATGATCATTGGAAGTTGGGCACAACCATTTCGAGATTAGGTTAAATTCCACAGAATAACCTCTAAAGTATTCAAACTTTTGATGATCCTCCGCACATAATAAACTCTTGACTTGTAAAGAGAAGTTGGAGATAACATCAAGGAGAGTCATACGCAAAAAGAACCACTCAAAAATATTGAATAATGAAGAAGTTACAATCTTTTGAACTTGATCTTGAAAATGTTGACTTTTGGTCAAAGTGCTTTAAACTGACATGCAAATCTGATCTTTCCTTGCATTCCAAGGCATATTGATGCCCATGTGAACCAGTGATGACGAAGTCTTGACTGTGCTCTTGAGATTATAGGCTAATCTTTCATGAAGTAGCCTCTAAGAATAAATAATTAGCCATACTGAACACTTGAAAGGTTCAAACCCTAGCTGAGGTATGATGCTAACAAAACCTAATTTTTAATCACCCATAGGAAAATAAACCCTAATCCAAGATCTTGAGAAATGGCCGTGTACATGGATGAATAAGAAACTCTTGAGAACCATACTAAAAAACACTTATTCATATAGTTCACTACTCAAGAGAAGAACCAGGGAAATCAACTGTACTGAGTGTAGAAGCCTCAAACCAATAGAAACCCTAATTAGCACAACCTCTGATTGTTAACCCCTGCTTTATTGAAAGGAGAGGGTGATGTGTGAATGACCTAATGATAATGATGCAAATGAAATGTAAAGACTGAGCCAGATAAAAGTGAAAAAGGCAGGAAAATTTTGGGGTATGACAACTGCCCCTATTTAATCGTCTTAAACCTGAAATTGAGATTGGTGGCAGCCGCCTTTCGATCATTTAGGTAGAAGAAGATTAAATACCAAGACCTAAAATTTGTCCTGGAGAGATGGTGTAAGTTTTATTATTTGTGATGTCTGCTGGGGATAAAAGATTCATTTTCTGGATAGCCGGTCATGATGGATAAATGTGGTTGAGTAGTGATAGCTTGTAACGTGGTAACGGTTCCAATACAAGATTCTCGGGGAAGAAATGATATGGTTGATGATGTCGCGGTGATGAAAGTAGGATTAATAACCACATGATAACTTAAAAACAATGGGTAAACTCGACGACAACGAAGAATATATCATGTGGGATTCACGACCCAAAAAGAAAGGTGTTGTAACCCAAAATTTTCTCTCTCATTTCTCAAGAAATCTCTCATAAGATCTCCATTGATTCAAGACTACACAAGGTTTGATCAGCTCGAGACACCTCTTTAAACACTGAGAACTCAAAATTATGGTTTCAGTTTTTACAAAGATAATTGAACTTCTAATGTATTATATGACTTTAATGGATCATTTTGGATCACCAAGATTGCTCAGGTCAAGTTTCAAGCTTTGGATCACATTTTTGCTCAGTCAGTTGATCAGTTGACCTAAAATCAACTATATTTGGGAAAAGTCAACTATGGTCAATTTGCAGTCAAACTTCATAATTTTTTATCCATATAAACATTGTGAACTCATGTATGTCAATTGATCAAGCTTGGATCACAATTCCTCAAAGAAATTTGATCAGAACACCAAAAGAGCAAAATGGTCAAAATTAGGGTTTTGATTGAGAAGGCTCAGTTCTTGACTTTTGACCAAGAAAATGACTTATTGGTTTAAGACATGATCTCAAGGATTCAAATGCACCATCTTGACCTAATTGCATATTTCAAATCACCTCTCAAGATCATTGGATTGATAGATGAATTTCAGTCAACTGATGAAAAGTCAACTGTACACTAAAAAGTCAAACTTTGACTTTTTGATCAAAATCAAGTTTCAAAAATCATATTTCATCAAGACATGTCAAAATATGAAATTTGTTCATCAAGAAATTAAATATTAAAAATTATCTTTGAAAAGTCAAAAGTCTAGGACTTAGAAATTTTTCTAAGTGTTAGAAAGTTAACATTTTTTCATAACTGCCAAATTTTCACCATGATGCAAGATGATTCAAGGAAAACTTCCAACATGAATGTTATAGATATCAATGAGATCTAAAACATTGTAGGGAAGTGTTGTACCCCAAAATTTTCCATCTCACTTATCAAGAATTTGCTCACAAGATCTCCTTGACTCAAGACTGCATTAGGGTTGATTAGCTCAAGACACCTCCTTAAACACTGATGACCAAAATTAGGGTTTGAGATTGCACAAGGATATTTGAACTTTCAATGACCCATATGAATTTCATGGATCATTAGGGACCCTCTAGATTACTCATGTCAACTTTCAAGCTTTTGATCACACTTTTGCTCAGTCAATTGAGCAGTTGACCTAAAAACCAGTTGTATTGGGGAAAAAGTCAACTATGGCCAATTCACAGTCAAACTTCATAATTTTTGATCCACATAAACATTTTAAACTCATATCTATCATTTGATCAAGATTGGACCACAATTCCTCAAGAAATTTGATCAAAGCTTCAAAAGGGAAAAATGGTCAAAATTAGGGTTTTGATTGGGAAAGGGCAATTTCTGATTTTTGACCTAGCAAATGATCATTTGGTTTAAGGCATGATCTCAAGATTCCAAATTAATCATTTTGACCTAATAACATGGCTCAAAACATTGCTCAAGTCCAATAGATTGACAGATGAATTTTTAGTCAACTGATCAAAAGTCAACTGCATACTGAAAAGTTAAACTTTGACTTTTTGGTCAAAATCAAATGCCAAAAATCACAATTCATCAAAACATGTCAAAATATGAAACTTATTCATCAAGAAATCAAAAAGTAAAGATTTCATTTTGAAAAGTCAAAATTTCTAAACATAGAAAATTTTCTAAATGTTGGAAATTTCTTATTTTGTCACAACTTTGAGCAAAATTTTTACCATGATGCAAGATGATTCAAGAGAAACTTCCAACATGAAAGTTGTAGATCTCCATGGAATATTTGCTTCACACAACTTCTTCCAAAAGTTCTTAGATCTCAAGTTATAAGTTTAAGAACATGTGGTCATGAAACAAAACACTTAGTGAAATTTTGCCCTAATTTAGTCAGGATTTTAACCCAACTTCATGGAACTTTTTCATATAGTTCCAAGGGGAATCTTCAAAATAAATTCAAATATGCGTTTTAGAGAACAATACAAGATTTACAAAATTTCCAAGAACTCCTTGAGATCATTCTTGATTAGGGAGAATCGAAGAGATGAAGTTAGGGTTTTATCACTTGAATTACAAGGCATTTTGTGATGAACAAAATTCAAATTCAAAGTTATGCTGCATAAACTCTACTTTGAAGGCCTCAAAATTGTTAGGAACTCCATAATTAATTGCTTGCACAACTTTTAGAGGTCTCATTTCAAGCATTCAATGCATGGACATGCTTTATATCCATTTTTGGAAGAAAGTGTACATTGCCATTTTGATAAAGTGCTTTTTTTACACAAAACTTGTTCTTGAACCTTGAAATTGTTCTCTTATGATCATACAAGTCCTATAACTCATAAGAAATGGTTTAGATACTTAAAATCACCCATCCCATGCTTGTACCTCACATTGAAACTTGGTTTCCCACTTTTCTTCAAAATCAAGTAACCTAGCCAAAAGCTTGTAACTTGTACTTCTGACTTGCCAATGCACTCAAGACCTTTTGCTTATAGATGTACAAACCATTTTCCATAAAAGAGACACATGCTTGACCCCTAAAAACACCAAGAGCTCAAAACTGCATCACATACCTCCATTGTTGCCTAACTTGACCAAAATTTTGAAACTCACATCTCCCTCGTGCGTTTTCAAGCCTTTTGGTTCCGAAAGTTTCTAAACATCATTTAGAACTCATCCTACACCATGTTACAAGACTGTAACACCATTAACACCATCCTCCATTTTCAAAAATATAGCTTTGCACTTGGACTTCTCCAGAACTCCCCAGGCACTTTCAGCTCAAGCTAAGCATCCCATTAGCTTCCTGGGAACTTGAGGAAGCTAATCCAATAATTGG